AGGAGGGGGAAGCAATCGGAGGACATTTTGGGAAAAACAGCTTTGACGTGGTGGAGGAGGTAGTGATGGAGATGGTGATGTCAGAGAAGTGGTGCGGTTAAAACAATAGCATTTAGGACGAAGTGGGAATGAAAGACCCAGACGTTGACGGAGAAACCTATGTTCATACGAGGTGACTTCTTCGATGGTTCTTCTTCCAGTGTTCTTCTCTCGGGCGAGAAGATGCCTTATTTTTATTTTCGAAAAATTTCATTTAAAGGTCACAGAACATAATTAACTTCAAAGAGTTTTCAAAACTTCCTGAAACTTCCCATAGAATCAAGGAGCAAACTGATATTAATGCCACAAAGAAAATGACACTATTACGCCTCATGTGAAAGCATGTAGGAGAGCCCATTTACAAATGGGACTAGACAATTTGTAACATACATACATTTATTTACAACTGAAATTAGTCAGTTTACATGTCACCTTTTTAATCTGAAAAAGGTGTTCGTGAGTGAATAAACGTAAGAGAACTCATTTACAAATGAGATTTGTCAATTTGCAACATACATACATTTATTTACAACTGAAATTAATCCATTTACATGTCACCCTGCAATAAGTATTATAAAGGGTAATAACGTCATTTTCTTTGTGCAATTAATATCAGTTTGCCCCTTGGTCTTGCAGTGAAATTTCAAAAAAATTTTGGAGGCTCTTTGAAATTAATTATGTACTGCAGTCCTTAAATGAAATTTTTCCTTTTATTTTTTTGATGAAAAGAGACACCTTATTTAAAACAAAATACTCCTTCAATCCTAAATATAAAACTCATTTTGTAGTTAAATTACACTACAAAATGGGTTTTATAAATAGTTTTGGAAAAATTACTTAAACATATTAAATACATAAAAAAATATATTTTATTTTATAAAAATATCTTTACTCGTGAAAAAAGTCATGGGATGCGTAATGAATAATTAATTTAGTGATATAATATGTGATTAAGGAGAATAAAAATGAAAGAAGTTGGCTAAAATTTCAGATAAAAAATTTGATTGCACCCACAATCTCACAAAAGGCTTAAATGAAATATTTGGTGTCATTTGGTTTTTAAGCATAATTCTCTCTTGTACAAAGCTGAGCATGAGGTGTAATTAATTTATGACTAACAAGACCTTTCTCAATAGATAGACAAATTGACTATTGATGATAAATTAAATCGTATTTATATCTACTCTTGACTTTAGTTAATAAAAGCATCAATGATGCACTTTTATATATAACGCCTAGATCTAGTTGTATTGAATTTTAATTTGGGAGGATCACTAAAAGTTGATTCAATTGATAAACGTAACATTTATATCTAACAAAGGCAGAAAGTAGTCTTATTAGTTTCGACCAAAAAAAAAGAAGTAATCTTATTACTTAGGGGGGTTTGAAAATCCTCATAAATACTTTTTTAAAAAAATAATTTCATCTCATGTTTACCTCAAACTTCGTAAATTTACTTTCAAAAAGCTAATATGAATACTCATTAGATAATGACTTTATTGACAATTAACTTGTTGGTGCTTCTTCAAGTATTTTTTGAATTTTAAGAGCTCATTTTGATTTTATGATAAGTTTTCAAAATTTAACTCATCTAATTTTTTTTAATAAAATAATAAAAGGTTTAATATTAATGTAAGTCTCTATAATTTGATCAAATTTTGATTTTAAATTACGTCCTTTGATCCATAAAGTTTCATAATATGTTTTTATATTTTTAACAAGTTTTAATTTTAATTTTAATTTTCATATCTAAACTCGGATGAAATATTTATGAAATTATAAAGAATAAAATCATCAATTTGGAATTTGGGGAGCAGGAGAACAAGAAAATGACAAAAAGACACCACGTCAAGTGGCGTCACGTGGAATTCGTGCTCAATTGCGTTCATACCAACGAACCAACCACCTAGTTGCTTCATCAAACCAGGTCAAAATATTTTTTTAAAAAAAATAAAATTTAAAAGTTGCTTTCTACTATCTAGTTTTGTTGTGATGTTTACCCCAAGAGATTAGAGAACAATCTTTCAAGAATCTTGTCAATAAAACATAGTACTCTCTGTGAGCTCTGGTTCTAAATATAAAATCTTTTTATAATATAATTATACTACAAAATAGTTTTTTATTTAGGAGTGAAGGAGTAATTTCTAATGAACACTCCCACCATCCTATATTTCTATTTATAAGATAAAAAGTGTATTTTTTACATTAATGTACAATTATACTATTCAGTTATGATTCATGGATATAAGCCATTTAAGCATAGAATGTATACCTCCCATGCTTAATATAAGTTTCAGTTGCATAATTAAAAAAGATTAAAAAAAATTACTAAATTACTTTAAAGTATTTATATTTATTGTTTTTCTATAAATTAATTTGATTTCCTTATAAATTGATATATATAATCTAATAATACATATAACTATTTTAGAGAGATCATGTAACATTACTATAATTAAAAAATTTAGTAACTTTCTTTAATCTCTCCAAATCAGTTAACTAAGTATTATATTAAGTATCAAAAATAGTACTCCTCTTGTCCTTAATATAAGGCCCATTTAACTAATTTGATTAGATTAAGGAAGTTAGATAAGTTAGTTTTTTATAAGAAAAGTGACACATTTTTCCTAAAACACCATAATCATCTTTCTTAATACCTCATCTCCCTCTTCTACTTGATTATGGTTGAGAGAATATCTATAAGGGTAATTTAGAGAAAATTGATAAATATGAGAAATGAGTTATATATTTAGGACCAAAACCAACTCAAGAATTTGGTCCTATATTGAGGACCGGAGGAGTACTAAAAAGGAGTAAGATCCCTCGTTTCTTATTATAAGAGATAAATAACTAAATTACGTTGATAAAAAAACAGTTAAAATTAGTTGAGGACAATTGATGTGTAAAAAGTACAATGTTTTTTTCCAATAATACCCCCATTAATAAGGAGAGAGTATGAGAGAGAACAATTAAATTATTAAAAGAAAGAGAAGTGGGAGGGAGAGAGAGTATGAGTTGGAGACAAAATAAATAGGAGTAAAATATGAAATCAATACAAAAAAATAGAAACAACTTTTAAGTGTCTCTTATATATGAAAACATACCATAAGCATCAAATGTCTCTTATAATAAGGAGTAAGATTTAAAATCTAATTTTTTTTAATCCCAATGACATATATTAAAAGTGCCTTATTAATCCTGCCAGCACCTTAACCGGTTTCTCACCACCCCCCATGATTCTTACTCACTCTATTTCTTTTTATAAGCAATTTGCACTTATTTATTATTTATTTTAATACTCAATATATTTATTATTTTATTTCCCAAACCATCATCTCTCTATCACACATTTTCTCTCTTTCATAATTTTTTTATTATAATAATTTTTTTATTCTCTTTATGATACTCTCTCTCCCATAAATAAACATATTTTGGAGAAAAAACTTCTAATTTCCACACGTTTATTATCTTTAACCAATTTTAATTAATTTTTTGATCTACATAGTAAAGTCAAATGTTCCGTACAAAAAAAAAGAGGGATAGAAGCCATTGTACTAGAATTTTTTTGTTCCTTTTTATAAGAACTTTTGATAGTTTTAGTGAGAGAATAGAGATTAATATGATGTTAAACTTTAATGTAATTAATGAAAGTAATATTAAAAATCACTTAAGTTTTAATGTTTTGAACTGTTTTTATTTATATGTGTCAATTATTTTTTTAAGCAAGGTATGAGTGTTTTAGTTGGTGAGCTCTTACAACGAGGAAAAGATGGAGTATAATTGGTTTTTCTCAAACACATGAGGAAAAAAAAATGTTGGCCACAAAAAATAATCTAACATATTTGAAAAAAATTTAAAATTCACTCTTGACGTATGTTAAGCTTTTATAGATGTGCAAAAAAAAACACGTTGAAAGAATTTTTCCGCTTCTAGCCTAAGGCGGCTTGAATTCAGGTCATTAATATTAATATTGACTATTATACAGTTCTCAATGAAAGAAAAAAAAAGAAGAAGGACAGTACAAGAAAGTAAACTTTACACGAAAAAGCCACATGTAATTAAATTCAACAATATTCAAATCTAACTCAGGTGTCAAATATCACATTGGTATCTATAGTACATGTACACATAAAAATTAAAGGAAAAAACACCTTCTCAACAAATTATACTTATAAATAATACTCTTTTAGTCCTATTTATATGGCAGAAAAAAGATAATTTTTGGACCTATTTATAGAGCACTAAGAAATTTTTTTTGTATGAGTGTGCAAATTTAACCCTTATTTATTATCATGTTGATTTTATTTACATAAAGTATAATATATATTAAATAGGAATAAAGATGGAAAGTTGTTAAATTTTCAATGAGAGTTAATAAAATTTAAAATTTTTCTTAATTTATGTGACACATGCTGGAAATGATTTATAAATAGCATAAAAAAAGTATCATTTAAGAAAATCACCATGACATCTCTAAATAAGTATAATCACAAAAATTTCAATAACAAGTTATCGGTGTGGATTTTATTATCATTTCTTACGTTAAAATTCATTATTCGCCTCCCTTAAAACCACGTAGTGATTTTTCCTATAATTTATTTCAAACCTTGGACAACTTTCGTTAGATTTTCAACATAAACCATTTTAAAGAACATATTTTATTATCACCCTCCTACCTTCATCATAGGGTACAACTTCTATAAATTTAGTGCCCACATGAACAGGACACTTTTCTAAAATTCTAAAAATAATTAATAAATTTTCTAAAACACCCCTAATAAATGATTAAAAAGACTGAGAATTTACATTTTAAAAACATTTTAAGTTGAAAAATTGATGACATCTATTTAAGGGACAAATTGCAAAGAAGGAAAAATATTTTAAGACACCAGCCAGACTTCACTGTTTTCTTAGCATCTTTGATTAGATAAATTGTGCCTTCCAATTAGGAAGAGAAGGGAGAAAGAAAGAGAAATCATTCAACATTAATTAGATATGAGAGATATTCCGTGAGTAACAAGGTTTATAGCATGATACAAATAACACCTTGTTTGAGTCTTTGTATCATGATATAGCATCGCAGAAGTTAAACAAAAGTAGCTTGTCAAGATTAAGTCACCACCATCCCTCCCCACAAAATAACCAACACAAACTCACAAAAGCTTTCCATAGATGCCATCCAATGTGCAAGGTCTAAAATACTACAAATTAGCCCATGGCATACTTCTGAGTCCAGCTGCGGGCAGTGGCTTCGTACTTGGCCCGGTCAGTTTTGTAAATGTGAGCAATCTCTGGTACAAGAGGATCGTCAGGATTTGGATCTGTCAACAGCGAGCAGATCGACAGCAATACCTGGAAAGAGCAAGATATGGTTTGAAATCTCAAGATCATCACATTCCTGATGGCGAAATCAAGAAAATTGATAAGGTCAAACTAAACAAGATTTTGGACAAAAGCGAAGTCAACCTGTGTCTTGTGAGCAATTGAGTATGAGTTCTAAAAGGTAGCAGATTACTTAACAGAGAGACTAGGACCAATATTTATACATGAAAAAGGCTAGTTAAGCATTTTTCTTGCTCACATATAATAGGGAAAAAAGCCATAAGCAGTAACAAAGTTCGGGAAAAAGACTATTCTAGAGCTGACGGACCGCTCCTGAAAAAGAAACTAATAACCCTGGTACCCACAACAAATATTAAGCAACAGGTGAGTATTAATATTCTTCAAGAATCCAGACTGCACTTCCTGATCAAGTAAAAATAACAAACCAGTATCCATATTATGTTTGCTGTTTCAATTGAAAAAATCGTTTTCATCAATTAGACTGACAAAGGGCTTCTTTTGTAGATGCATGATCACAGCTGAAAATCGCTACCAAAGAGACAGTTTTCCAGTTATAGGTCACTTTTAGAAGGTAAGCAGTATGAATAAGTCGTTTCAATGAGCAAAAGGTCACCTTCTAAGAATTCTGAGAATTTCCAATAAACTGCAGCCACCCCCCTCACACTAATAAAAGGACTCAGGCCCATTTGGCTTAGCATTAAGGAAAAGGATTCATTTTCCATCACACAGCAATTGGGATATGAAATACGTATTATATCCCTGTAACTATTACTTAACAACAATAATTTATTTTTATTATTAATTTTTATCTAGTGCCACATACGACATTTCAAATTACAAAAGTTGTTTCCCTTTTCCATTATTCTGCAAACCAAACCAAACGGGATCTATTAATCTAGGGTAAGTAAAAGTATCTTCCCCAACACATTTAATCCTTTTGTATCATAGGTCTGTAAGTTTTGCCATCAAAGGATACTCGTATCAATATAGCAGAGAGATCATTAACGATAAATTGTTAATTTTCCCGCCCTTTGACACTTGAGTAGCATGACTTGTTGCAATTCTTTTATGAAACATGTTATATTTAATGCTTCAGCGAGGCTCACATATTCCATATGCAGGAATTATATATTTAATGGAGAGAAAGGCAAACCTTAGAGATCGTAAGGGCAGGGCTCCATTGTTCCTTCAGGATATCAAGACAAATACTACCATTGCTATTAATGTTTGGATGGAAGACCTTGGTCCTAAACGCAACCTGGATGAATAAGGTCATGAGATCTCAAGACCATTTAAGAAATCAAATAAATCAATGCACAGACATGATAGCACGATGCCATAGTGCCTACAAAACATAATTTACCTTAGGGGGCTTGAAAGGATAATCTGGAGGAAAATGGATCGTAACTAGAAATACACCTCCAGCATATGGGCTATCAGCAGGGCCCATGATGGTTGCTTGCCAATGAAACATATCTTCAGCAACTGGACCTGTTTTGAATAGAGTATTGAGAAAACTATGAAATTCAACATGAGCATACCCAGTGCTGCAAGCATCGATATGATGATTGTATTATCTAATCTAAGAGACATAATTTTTTATTACTATCAGTTTCATTTTTTTTTTTTCCTAAGAGGAGGTCACTATTGTAAAATAGACATACTCCTCCTGACTACAGAGCCTTGAAACAACGCCCATGTAAGGGGTTGATTTCGGCTCTGGACTGACAAGGAGGAAAAGAATGGAGTCTCCAGTAAGTTTTGACCACTTCATGCCAGATTATGTATAATTATCTCAAGCAGTTAGACACCTTTTGTCCATAAACCTCCAGTAGAAACTTACAGTCATCAATAAGATTAGCATCAGAATGAGAAGATAACCAGTTTAACTAAGGCTAATGCACAGTAACACTTAAAGCTGCTGCCGCTAGTTACTTTGCGAAGCAAATTCAACAGATTAAGGTTTAAACCATCCTTTATTTCCCACACCACACCACAGCTAACAAACTCAAACAAAAACAATTTCTGAAGTATATCTCGAGAATCCCTCAGCCAAACTACCTTTGATCAAACCTCTTCAGTTGTTTATACCAGGAATTTAGGGTGTCCCACAGAAGAGCGAGGTGCATTGATGTTTAACATGTGTAAGAAATAATTTATGAATTTTAAAGATTTACAGTTGATACAAGACCGCAACTCTATGCTTTTGCTAGATAGCAAACTTAATTTCAAGAATCCTTCGGCTTTCTGTGGAGGGTATACTCACCATTAAGAAACAACCAAATATGTATTCATAAATAGGGTCATGAATATGGTTGCCTCTCCAACGACTGGAGCATAACAATCATAAAGATTTCAATTTTCACTCCATAGTTAAGGATCAAAATTTCCCCCACGCTGAAGATTTCTCCAAATTATGATTTAGGAGACCAGAAAAACCTGATCAAGATAAAATATCTTGAATCCCACTCTGCTCTCAATATCAAGTATGTCAGCCTTCATAGTAACACTAAATTCAAGTTCAACTTGGGGCTTTGATGTGACAAGCACCCATAAGAGAGATCGGATATGCAGAGCACAATACAAATACATTAGTTATGTAATCAAGATTTTAGTTTAAGAGAACCTAATTGTAAAAGTGCATTAAGTTCTAACCATAGGAAGCGAAAATTAAATCTGCAGTATAAATATCAACCTGCAATGATATATTCATCATCTTCAAATACATTATCTTACAACAAGCTATGCATACATAGAGGCCAAGAATGTGATATAATGTAAGGCTATAACTAGTAGTGAACAGCTGAGCTGAAAACCTGAAGATCAGAAGCTGATCTCTAATAAAACAATCTTTACTGGCAGTGCTAACCAGAATTAGACATACACCCTGTGCTGACAACTGAGGGATGGTCATGAACAAAAAACACGTGAGTGACACATAAGAGCTTTCCATGACACAGAAAGGAAATACCTGCCCTATAGTTTGAATCACAAAATGGCAGAGATCGAATTTGCAAACCAATAAGCAAATTCATGTCAACCTGAAACTGAAACTTCAGTCTATAATCAAATGCGCGTTACAGACAAGTCTATAGCATGTTATCGGCTAACTTACTATATACTCTGAGCATTATAGGTTCACTAAATCCCAGCAATTAGTGGAAATCAGAAACACCCAAAATCCAGCCATCTTAGAATGTAGAATGCATCTAAAGAAGGTGCATACACAAATGAAAGTGTAAAGTGTAAACAAATAATGATGCAAAAAGTCACATTGTTCTAGAACCTGCGCTGCATGACGTGGGTGGATCTTTCTGCAAGTCCTTAAGCTCCTTCAAGATGCGCTTCGAAGCCATGTCACTTCCTCCAACCGATGGACAGAATCACCACCTACAGAAAAGAAAGTGTTTCCATTTTTAGTCTAACCAAACATCCAGTCATCGCAACAAGTCAGATACAAGATACTTTATCACAAGACGTGAAGCGATCGTGCAAAAACGAAACAAGCAACAACCCCAAGAGCTATAGATCACAGAAATCATAGGGTATGCGAAAGGGAGGGAAGGCTAGAGAGGTTATAAATATACTCGTCTGGGGAATAAAGGACATGGGGAAGAAGCGGGAGGAGGAAAAACTCATACCTGAAAAAGAGCAAATTGAGAGGCGAAGCTGGAAGAAACAGCTTCGAGGAGCGAGGGATTCACAAGTCCCGTGGCCGCCCAGGCTCAAGAAACCTACAGGTTTCTCTCACCTCTCAAGAGCCCTCCCTGCGAGATTGCTGATACCGAAAGCTTACAGACGAAGCCCTTCTTCGATTTTAAATGAAGGCAAGGAAAAGTCAAATGACACCCTTATCCATTCCTTTTTGTATTATTCCACTTCTTGTCCCATCCTTGTGACATGAACATACTTTTTTTTTAAGTCATATTTATAAATCATTTCCAGTATATTTTATAGAGTAGAAAGAAATCTTAAATTTTATTAAGTTTTATTTAAAATTTAATAATTTTTTGATTTTATCTCTATTTAATATACTCCTCCGGTCCTTATTATAAGATCCAATTTGACTTTTTATTTGGTCTTAATTATAAGACCCAATCCATTTTCTCTTTTATATTTATGTATTTTTTTTCAAGATAATCCTTTTAATAATGATAGTTTTAGCCAATATACTTAATTAGCAAGGATATTTTAGGAATAACAACACTTATTTATTATAAATAACCAGTTTAACTTATTTCCTTAATCTCCTCAAATAAGTCAATTGGGTCTTATAATTAGGACCGGAGGAGTATATTATATCTTATATAAACAAAATCAACATAATAAAAAATAAGGAGAAAATTATACATTTATATAAAAAATTTCTCTAAATTCCCTATAAATAGGACTAAAAAAATATTTTCTTTTTTACCTTACAAATAAGAGCAGATGAGTAAGTATTTATAAGTACATTTATAGAAATCTTCTTATATATTTCCTCACTAATTACTTATAGGCCCTTAATCTTTCCTAAAAATCTTCTGTGATTTTTTTTTCCTCCCGAGTTTTACCCAACTCTAGGTTAAAAAAATCCCCTAACTAGAAATATTTTACCCCATTATCTAGTTTTTTTTCCTTCCATTATTAAAAAAAAAGGGAGTTTTTCTGGATGATTTATAAATAATACGATTTTTATTTTTGTTACCAGTTTCATAACTTTTATTGATTTAATCTAAAACAGTTCTTTCATCAAAATGAAATTTCCAAATTTGGATGAAATGACATTACTATCCCTCACTTAATGAGAAAACGTCAAACTGTGGCTTTTGATGCTCAGAAGAACACAACCATCGAGTCGAGGTTTTATAATAAAATAATACAAGATAACATATTCGTATAATTAAGTTTTGAGATGAGGAGAATCCCACAACAAAAATTTTAAAATTACCAAATTCAGAATCAGAAGATATGATAACAACATTTTAATAAATATTAGCAACATTAAACTTACTAATAGTAAGGATTCTTGATTCAATTATTTGGAACTGGACAAATAAGAGGAATTATTTATATTTAGGATTTAGTAATCCTGGCAAAAAATGATTTAGTAATTACTACCTCCGCTCTTAATTATAAGAGTTTGTTAACTAATTTGAGAACATTAAAGAAATAAGTTAAGTTAGTTATTTATAGTAAATAAATATTGTTTTTCCTAAAATATCCTTACTAATCAAGTGTATTGATTAGAAATACTATTATTAGAAGGATTATTTTGGAAAAAAATATAAATATGAGAGACAAAGTGGATTAGAGTCTTATATTTAAAATTAAAATAAAAATCAAATGAAGTCTTATGTTAAATATCAGATATAGTATTAATTAGTAATTTTGTTTCAGTTGGTTATATTACTAGTTTGAATCCCGATATGTTAGTGGATGAAAAATTTATAAGCTCTGTGAATAATCTAAGACTAAAAGAATGCTTTGGACTTGTCTCAACTAAAAACTAAAAAATGTTTGGATAGAAACCAAATCATAATTTTAAAAATATTATTTCTGGTTTTAATTATAAGATCTAGTTGACTAATTTGAGGAGATTAAGAAAAAACGTTAAATTAGTTATTTGTAATAAATAGTGTTATCTTTCCTAAAATATCCTTACTAATCAAGTATATTGGTTAGAACCACTATTGTTAGAAGGACTATATTAGGAAAAATATATAAATGTGAGAGACAAAATGAATTAGAATCTTATATTTAGAATCAAAATAAAAATAAAATAAAGCTTTATATTAATGACGAGAGGTAGTCATTTTATATATACAGCATATATATGGAGAAATTTTTCTTAGTGTACGGAAGAGTGTTTTATTTTGATGTCCAAACGCCCCTCATCACACCTAAACTTTTAAAAGCCAAACCAAAACTGAGAGTTTCGGGTTTGTGTTTGGTGATCGTATGGAAGGCGTTTGACTTCACCGCCCGTGGGGACATTAGTTAGTACGTTGCCTGACGTCGCCTCGTCCTAATTGCGCCCTGGCGAGAAGCTGGTTGGGTTTAGCGGCTTGAGGTTTTCCTCCTACTTAAACCTTTGTCTCCGATGGCTTGGTGAACCAGAAATCGTGTTGAAGCTTCGCATAAGGCTTTTGTCCGTTTCTACTGCCAGGTTCGGCGATTTGTGTGTTTTCTTCCAAAAAATCTCGTTAATTTAATTTAATATAGATGATCCTCATTTTATATGAAGTAGCCATCTCTGTTAAATATCGTCAGTAGCATTTTATTCACTAACTCATGGCCTCGTCGAATTTTGTCTTCTACAGCGGCTTCAACCTCTTGTTCTCCTCTGCCTTGGCATCTTCTAGGGCATGAGGAAGAAGTTCTCTCTTTTCATCATCGTAGCCTGCCCCTTGCTAAAATTAAAACTCCAGTAACTTTTATTTTTGTAAAAAAAAAAAATCAGCTTTAACGACGTTGCTCTTTTTACATATACGTCTGCCATGCGGTGCCTTGTCATCACTTCCGTTAGCAACTTTTCTTTGAAGTACTGAAAGCCAACATCCATGACCTGCCTCTTCTCCGTCTGGTCGTGTCTGTTCACTCTCTGCTTACGGGTTAGAGATTTTGTGATGAAAGCTAGTTCTTCGCAGCTCTGCTGTGTTTTTCGTGGATTGAGATGGGACGGGGATGAGAGATATTTAAGATTTTAATTTTCAAATAAATTAACAGTGTTAAAGAGAGGGTTACTGATTACTCTATATTACAGATGCGTAAAAAAGGATAATGGCAAGTTTTGTCGTTTCGAAGAGACATTGCACCATATTTTGTGCTCAATTGCTTGGTACACAATCCGATGGTGCAAATAAAATTTGCTCTTTTATTTATCCCAAATTGTAGGCTATCATATTCCTCTATCTCATTAATCTGTCTATGGACTTGTTGTACCTTACAACTATCCAGAAGTTCTTCAGTTCTGTTTTGTGGATTTTATTGCCTTGTATTAGAAACAAATTGTTCAATTTTCGTGGAATGCTGCAAAGGTATTGATCTTTTAAGGTTATTGAGGAATCCCAGTTAAATGACTTGATATTAAAAATGAGAAAATTAATTCTGCTAGTGGATTGCTAAATTGTATGTTCCATATTCTCAAGAGTTATGCTTGGAAACATCATTAATGATTTACGCGGTGACCAAATTTTTGAATTTACAGCGTTCTCATGGAATGCTCGTCATCATGAAGAGAGTTACTAGAGAGGTTGACATATGCGAGCTTTTACACTTTATCAGAATGTTTCCCTTTGATATTGACCGCTTGAGATAATTCACTCTGCTTCATTCTAATCTGCTAATTAATTCTTATCCAAATGCTTAGTTTGGTGTGGAGTTAGTAGCGGCAAAGCAAACCAAATTGTTGCTTACAAAAAAAT